GAAAAATCCTGAACAATTTTATATTTTAATATTTAATTTTTAACATTTATCAATATATATGATAAATATATATTTTAATTATTTTAATATGAAGACGACAAGGCATGTAATGAACTAGTTTAACGTTAAGCAAATAAGCACCTGAGGATGGCACTTTTGTGCCGAAACATGTAGTGCGAGTGAGAGGAGTGAAGTAGATAAGTGTATGCACTAGAAGACGGTGAAATAAATCATGAACTAATATTAAATTAAGGAATCATGACTGTAAAAATAAAATCATATATTAAGAAATGCATAGTTCATTAATGTAATAACTAATATTTTTACATTCAAAATAATAATAAATTTATTTTACAGTGCCTTGTGGACTGCCTTGCCAAAAAATACGATGTGGTAAGTTCTATACTCTAAGACTATGATAACAAAATATCCTTACGATTCGTAATAAATGCAATACTTTATTAGATGTGTCATAAAACTTAAAAGTGTAGGGCATAAAAAGTGACAGTTTAGAAGAAATGACAAAATCCAGTGTTTCACTGGTCTCTAGATTCAATAAGAATTGGAAAATAAAAAATTGAGGCTATATGATTATGAACGACCTGATTTGATATTAAAACGCTAGCCAGTTTTCTGGCGGACATTTATATTTCGTAAGATTCTTGGAACAAATGAGGACACGCGGCAGCGTACTTGGTTGATACACTATGCCATAAGCCGAAACGTCGCGGGTGTGATTCCAGATGCGGTCATTGGATTTCTTATTTGATCTAATACTTCCAGTCGCACTATGACCTTAGGGTCAACTTAGCCTCTAACAGAAATGAGTACCAGGATTCTTCCAGGGCCTAAAGGGCGGCCGGCGCGTAAGGCTGAAAACCTCACCGCCATCCGTGAACCTATTATATAAAAAATGTGGGAGCCTCGACGTCTCACAAGCCTGTGGGCCTTCACGGCCTGTTATAGGGATAGCTTTACTTTATTTTTTACAACAGCTGTGTAAATGTTTTATAAATTTCGTCCGTAATCTTGGAACCTGTCAGCACACCTTACAAGCTCCCGGCTTGATCCAGCGTTAAGGTCAGAGGTGCAGATGCTGTCTATGAATTGTATCCTTCGGAATGCCTTCTACATGATCAGTCGCCTGGAATGGGGAGCCACCTACACACAAAGGAGTTTAAATGATTCGTTCAAATTATTGTCGCTGTTGTGCAAATAAATTATATTTAGAAACAAAACTCCTACTGCAGAGAAAACATACTGCATAACAATTTCTAAGATTGTTCTCTTAAGTTATTTAGGGAAATAATTTCTCTTTGCTCTGACAATCACATGAAACATATAAATATAATCCGTGGGCAAACCGCAGAATTTTAATACGAAAACAATTGCAGACAGGGTTATACTAAGCTTTAAGGAAACTGAAGGCGGTTAACGTTCTGAAACTGCAAAGATGTTTGTTGAACGACTGTTTCAGGTTGACGCAGATGGTTATTTGGATACAGAAAAAGCCGCACTGCTCATCAAAGCGAAGGATCACTGGGGTCAATTATTTGCAAATAAAGATGACGTCATTAAGAGATGTGTAACGTTTGCTAACAGCTTTTCAAAAGGCAAGTTAAATTTTCTTACAAAAGATTCTCGTTACATCTTGAAGATTACATATTTTAAATTAAAAATAAATCGTCTACAAGTTGTTCCGCACCATCGTTAAATGAAATTATTGTTAATCTAATACATATTCAAGGCTCAACTCGTTCCAAGACCATCAGAAGTAGGCTTATTACGTTAAGAAATAAATTTCTAACTTTTAACAAGCATCTGATTTGTTTCATTCTGGTCCGTCACACTAACAATTTCAAAGATAAAAATAACACCGTCCAGTGTGACTATTTAAGTTTTATCACTTGAAAACTCATCACCCTTACATGTTTCGATCCCTACGGATCATCCTCAGGGGGCATCAATACTTTTCCCGGTAACTACTATTACAATAGGTGTTAAATTATATACATACACATATAATGTCTGAAATACACAATGTACACAATGTTCAAACTTTCACAGTCACAGCAGCCTTCCTGGTATTACAATTTTTAAAGTTTCTTAAAAACTTCGTTGTTTAAGATTAAAAATTTTATAAACCATGGAGGTTCGTGTCAATTCTCCTATTGTCTTTCTTGGAGGTGGCTGATATTGTGCCGCCTGTCTATCTTGAGAAAGGAGATTCTTAGTATTGTCTGTGTTTATTCGTGGCTTGCTGTGTTGTTTACACAGATCAGCCACCTCCAAGAATAACAATAGGAGAATTGACACGAACCTCCATGGTTTATAAATTTTAATCTTGAACTACAAAGTTTTTAAAAAAACTTTTAAAAGTTTTAATACCAGGAAGGCTGTGAAAGGTTGAACATTGTGTACATTGTGTATTTTAGACATTATGTGTGTATGTATATAATTTAACACCTATTGTAATAGTAGTTTCCGGAAAAAGTATTGATGCCCTCTGAGGATGATACGTACTGATCGAAACATGTAAGGGTGATGAGTTTTCAAGCGATAAAACTTAAACAGTCACACTAGACGGTGTTATTTTTGTCTTTGTACCTGTTTAAAGAAGCATTTTAACAAATAAACGTTATAAGAATATACATTAATAGAAACATGGATAGACGAAGACTGAATACAGCATAAAAGGTGCATAAAATGAAAACTAAGGGATCATTAGAGATGCTAGTTTGATATGATGATGGCTTAAATCTTGATCTGTCTGAAAAAAGTGACAAAACAGAAAACACTGGAAAGCAAGCCAGGTTGGCTCCATACATTCATAAATGGGAATTGCTGATTCAAAATCCACTTAGGGGCGCTCTCATTTTCATGTACTCACAGTAACATTTACAACATGGAACCACGTACAGTATGCGCCAAACATGCAGTACTGGAACTCTAGCATCTCGAACGCGCATGTGCGTTTATCGACGGGGGAAAGCTCAAGCCGCACGTGTTCCCAGTAGTGAAAAGGAAGTTCTGTTGTGCAGTTGTTGTTGGAAATGGGTCCCTCGACGGAGGAAAAAGTATTCATAATTGAGTATTATTTTCGCTCATACGGAAGTGGTCGCCAGACAACTCGCTTCCTTGGTTTTGAGCGGCCAGATGTTATCGTCCAGAAACCGCTACACAGTACACGTGTGACGCTACGGTGTGCCGTCTCAGCACACGGTACATTAGGCCCCTATTTCATTGAGGATGAGGAAGGCAATGCTCTTACCGTCACCCAAGAACGCTACAGGGACATGGTGACCGGACCATTTCTTCAGGATTTGAGAAGGTTCTGTCGTGCAAGGGGCCTTCACATGAATAGACAGTGGTATCAACAGGAAGTCTTTTCATTTCAGTACTGTAGCTTTTGGCGCATACTGTACTCTGCCATGTGTGCTTCTAAATCGTGACCTGTCCTATGTCTACTAAATAAATTTATTTTCCTAAATCTATGCTTCAATATATAACCTGGATCAACATGGTGTCCATGCTTCTCCCACACTATCAACTTCTGAGTTAGGTGATCGAATTTCACGAAGTTCTCCTTGCTATTGGCGTAATCAGTACTACGTCAACGACGTCATTTAATTTCAGCGTGCTCAAATAATGAACGGTAAAAGATGTTTTGTAGATTTGCGGCTTCCATTATGGTAATGTTTAACAGAACAAGAAAGGACGGCACGATCACAGTGTGATAACTCTCTTTAGTTTTCTAGAGACAGGCAGGTGAACTATAGTTCCTGTAGCTAGGGATATGATATTTCCATGAATACAGATCATAAACATACATATGTATGTAATATGTAATTAGCTATGTTTCCTCTAGCTGGGTATGTGAAATGTGGTATGGAGATATGTAATAACAATAAGCATAACTGTACACTACGCATATCAGCTATTAAAATCATTACGACGGAGGCAAAAAGTGTGTTTATCTTACAAAAATGCATGCACATAGTCTATACACAAGTCTTACATTGTTCATAATAACAAAATTAAAAAGAACAATAATAAAGTTAATAGATCAGTAGGACAATAATTCTATGCAGCAGGCAAGTAGGCCTCATGAATTCTATCGGAACTCCCTGTTCTAAGCATAGGTAAAAAATGAAGCTGTCCCTGTACTTAACCAACGCCACGAAAGCGTGTGGGGGAGTGGATGTATGGATCCATATTTTCTTGATCTCGGCACTAATTACGAGTGGTCAGCTTCACGACCTGGTCGCTTTACCCCCTGTACCCATAGCATAGGAGGCTGGGTGGGTCCCAGAGCCGCTCTGGACGTCATGGAGAAGAGAGAATTCTTGACTCTACCGGGACTTGAACCCCAAACCCTCGTTAATCCAGCGTGTAATCAGTCGCTATACCGACTATGCTATCCTGACTCCATGTTCTAAACATATACCTATAAATCTTTTAAATGTTAATAAAATAAATGTATTCAGTATAAAATATACATCTTGATGTAGAGGAAATGAACAATTACTGTAAAAGAAAACTCCACCTTGTCACCAGATGAGTATATAATTAGAAGTTACATATATTGTATATTGTTTGAATGGTGTGTTTTATAGTGTATAATACGCATGTATTTCTCCTGTGTCATTCAGAAAGAGGGACTGTTGTCTTCGAAGAGAAGAAATGCAATATGGCCCCTGCCGTTATAACTAACTGTATCAGGGCGATGGTAGAAATCGTAAGTAAATATTTCGACTTACGTGTAGCTTATTTCTTTGTATTCCTTATAATATATTGTGACATGACGCCTGAAAGTCGAAATAGTTCATTGCTAGGCAACAGCTCGCTAAACACATTCCGGCGGAAGCGAACGTGCGTAATGACAGAAGAGCGGTGTTTTGTGGTCCGAGTCATGCGCGTTGCTACACATCTCTGCAACAGTGAATCAACATTTGAGGGGTGTTTTCTGCGGGCGCCGCCTCGAGTCTGTGTAACGAGGATCTCGCGCAGCTAGAGAATGAGAATAAAATTGAGCCTCCGGAGTTGGCACTAGCAGCAGCGAACTGAGTTCCGGATTTGTGCACTTGCAGCAGAGAATTGAGTTCCGGAGTTGGCACTTGCAGCAGAGAATTGAGTTCCGGAGTTGGCACTTGCAGCAGCGAACTGAGTCTCCGGAGTTTGCACTTGCAGGAGAGAATTGAGTCTCCGGAGTTGGCACTTGCAGCAGAAAATTAAGACGAACTGGCCAGAAATCAATCAGGCTGTGAAATGAGCACTTCATAGTGTGCTGCAGTTACAGTGAGACTATCATAAATCCTTTGCCGGGATACGACTAGTAAAGACTGGTAACTCTGGCGTGTTTGCAACAGTGAACTGTAAAGTCAGTAGATCAGCGATAGAGCTGTAATTGTCTGTAGTTCCGAGTGGGGTGTATAAGGTGACAATACATCCAATTCATTCAGTTCTAACCTGTCTATAAGTCACGCACACCCACCCACACGTGACAATAATAAATAGAAATATATTTGCGAAATAAAAGTAAAAAAAAACTGTGGCGTGCATTTATAACTTCTGGGTAATATAACCGAAAACATAATCTATAAAATGTTATAAAAATAAATTAATCCTCTATTTGACTGAAGTTCATTGCAAGGGAAGACCTACATATTTTTAATTTCCTCTTGCCGCATTCTATTTTTCTGTACGCTGTGTTTCATGGCTGGTAATATTAAGGTAAAATCATCACGAATCTATTGTATTCTGCAGATGTATTCCCTTTGTCCAGCGATATATTTGCAGTATCACAAAACCTTGAAGCAAGAATAGAACTGAAATAATAAATTCAATTTTATTCATCAAATTTTAAATTAAGATTTAGAATAAAAATAGAAGTCGAACCCAGACACTCTACCGCATTACTTGTACATCGCTTAAACGAGGGCAATCGCTACCGTACATACTGGCAAGAATACAGAGTAATCTGTAAAATAGCTGTAGGTGTTCTGTGGCAGGTCAGCAGGAAGGGAGAGAACCCGAGATATAAGTCTCTTCTTTACGCAGGCTCTGCGATAATATAGACAAAAAATGTGTAAGAAAATAGGTATCATTGTTATATATATTAGTATTAGTAGTGGTATTAGTGTTCATGTCTCCGGTCTAGAAAACCGATATTATCGGCCGTGGGAAACCGTTGCGCTCACCACGCGACACACTCTATCCGCAAAAGTTGGCACTAACTCCACCGACAAGCGGCGGTCACTCGGTAGGTGTAGTTCGCTTGTGGACTAAAGGCCACGGAGCAAACTCAAAAGTATTTATTTCACCTTCTTTATGAAATATGACGTAGTTGCCAGCAACTCAATCTAACTAGTGCAAAGAGACGCAGGCATAAATTTCAGACACTGCACATTTAAATAACAAGGGTCGTAAATTCCAATTTAATTACCTATTCCCATTTCGAACCTAATTGAAATTACTGTTTTCTTAGGAACTCCAATTAAATACTTTCACAATTTTCCGGAACCCAAAGGATGATTGGAGTGCACGAAAGAATTAGACAATAGAACCAATCCTGAAAGAGTTGAACCACTCCAGGATGCCAGAATCTCCTGCTTTTGGATATATTTTAATATAAGTCTCTCGTATACTTCTAGGATTTCTGAGTGATCTTTTACATATGTGGTTTACTTTCTGTTCGTTTCAGAACTGTCCCGAGGACAGGAAGGTTCCAGGTGAGCAAATGGAACATATTCTGTAACAAACTGGCAATGATTAATTTCAGGGTTCGATTCATGATTACTTTTATCGTCTAAGAGATTCAAGTAGCTAATCTTATATAACTGAGACTTCGAAATATATACAAATATGGGCAGGATAATACGCATGTTTGTCTATGTGAACATACGGAAATATTTCAGTCAGGTAATAAATGTAGCAATTTGAAGTATACACGTAAATATCATCTGATTAAAATTTTTAAACTCAGTTCCAACCTCATAGAAAACATAAATTCCTGTCACTTATAAAGACTGAAATGTTAATACAGCCTAGATAAATAATAATTTCTTTATCTGATAATATTTTATGAAACATGTAAATACATTGAAGAAAGTAGTCTTCTGGGATTTGGCACCGTGCATATGTGGTGTTAACCGACGTTTCGGAGGAACGTATCACCTCCATCTTCAGGGTAGAAGAAAAAATATAAGAAATCTGCAAGCGAAGAGACCGTGAGAACCGGTTCCTCCGAAACGTCGGTTAACACCACATATACACGGTGCCAAATCCCTGAAGACTGCTTTCTTCATAGTCACCGCCGTGAAAGCCTCAAATCTTACATGTAAATATATTATTCGGTTAAAATGTACAGTTTCTTAAATTCAAAGAAGGTGATATATATTCACTATTGTATTTTAAAGGATTAAACAATTATTGTCTCTGTAATAAGTAAAAATCCCTGGTTAAGTTCCACACAAACAATACATTCAATTACTGTATATTATCATAATAGAAGCGGAGCAGAAGCCGGAGAGCTTGTAGCCTCTATACCGGCTTTCATTACAGAACCACTTAAGCACAGATTTAAGCGCCATCTTGATGATATTCTCCATTTCCCTCTCTGTCCTCCAAATGGGATTTCTGTAAGAGACTTATCCTCTAAAATTTTGTAATCACTTTTATTTTCTTTACTCCAGCCACTTCCCCAGCTCAGTGTATGCTTTTGATTTTGCTAGTGTGGCAATATTAGGTGATCTATATAAATCAAGTGCTTCCTAATTATGTTATATCCTAAATTGATCTTCAGTCTTTCTGGATGCTAATAGTTTCTTGAGTTTGTGTCCAGACATACACACTGAACGCCCTTTACTCAAAGCAGGAGGCAAAGTTTCACGCATAGACAGGAAACACGACGAATAATATAGACATAAAGTCTTTCAAATTTGTTTATATTTCAGGTGCACAATGCGACAAGCTTCGGAGAAAACTATCTCAAGTAGTAGACGCGCTCAATATATAAAAGGAACGGAAATGACGTCAGGAAATATATGCGATAGAACACAATTGTACTGTTACGCGACAATAAACGTATTCAGATTAACATGTGACTTTCATTGTTACACAGCTACATTTTCCCTTCGTAAACAGGCACAGCGCCTGCGTAAGCTGTAGGTCCTGGCAAAGGTAAGTGAGAAAACATTCTCTACATTAAATTTAATGTAAATTTCAGATTACAGATTTAATAGGCCTCTTTAGCTTACTTGTACAGTGACTGTTTTATTTCTTAAAGGTTAATTACGAAAAGCCAGTTCTTAATGATGATAACCTTATGTAAAAATCTAAAATGACACTCAGAATATCACAATTTTGTCATGCAAATTTAATGTCCCTTCTCCCCCCCCCCAATTTTATGGTGACAATCGCAGTGATAGATAATTATCTGAAATTTAATGCTTCGGATAATTAATTAAATAATTCCAGAAAAGTTTAAAGTATTAATATATTAATCATATCTGCTGTATGTACCCATCTTCAGATAAAATATTCTTTTCTAAAAATATGAATACATGACAGAATGGAAATAGTTTAGTTCTTGGGGTAGGGTGCTACTGAGTTCACTTGGTACGTCGGTCACTGATTGGCCTATTGTACCAGCACCGGGTAATTGGTGGTGGTAGTGGTGGTGGTTGCGGTGGTGGCGGCGGCGGCGGCGGCGGCGTGGTGGTGTTGTGGTGGGGGTGGGGGCGGGGGGG